CGCCACACTTAGAAGATGCTCACACAAATGTTTTAATTCATAAATAAACAAATCACAGATATGACACAAAACCATTTTTGTTTAATAATTCAACATTCTGGTTATGTGAAACATACCTAAAAAAAAAAGATATTAAACTCTTTTAATTAATGAAAATTTGTTTTCCATATCAACTAGAGGAAAAAAATATGGAATCATCTACCAAAACACACAGTACTTTGTTGCTCCTCCTCTTGCTTTTATGAGGGCCTGAATTCTTTGACGCATGGACTGATATTGTTTTTGGGGCATGAAAAACAATATTCTTCATCAAGCTGGTTCCAGTTTTGTCGAATAGCGGTTGACAGATCAGCTTTGCAAGATGGAGCCTTGTCATGGACCAGTTTTTTAAATTTCCACCATAAATTTTCAATCAGATTGAGATCCGGACTGTTTGCTGGCCACGTCTTTCCACCATAAATTTTCAATCAGATTGAGATCCGGACTGTTTGCTGGCCACGTCATTGAGTTGATATGCTTTTCCTGAAGAAAAGCTTTAACACTCTTTGCTCTGTAGCAAGATGCATTATCATCCTGAAAAATGACATCATCATCACCAAACTTCTTTTCTATTGATGGAATGAGAAAAGTGTCCAAAATTTCAATGTACACTTGTGCATTGACTGTTGAGGTAAGGATTGCCATTTCCCCTGGTAATTTACCTGACATGCAACCCCATATCATAAATGAGTTGGTAAATTTGGTTGTTTTCTTCAGGCAGTCATCTTTATACATTTCATTAGAACGGCACCAGACAAAAGTTCCAGCTGGGCTCCCTTGGCATTACTGTTGAGATAATGCCTTGGATTAGACTAAATTCAAATGTTTTCCTGTGCACTTGCTAGGTTAAAGGAGACATACACTGAAAGTAGCATTTTACTTGTTAGCATTTATATGTATAATCTATCCGTAACCTTGTCAGGTTAATTACCGAGGCCGAAAGGAGAAGCTGGTCAGAATTCGTAATCCTTGGGGTCAGGTGGAATGGACGGGGGCCTGGAGTGACAAGTAAGACTCAAAAATTCAAAACAATATTCATTTAAGATGTATATTATGCAGTTGCATAAGCTTGTAATGAAGCTGTTGTAGTGTTATACAGTATAATATAGCTTGACCTCATTGCTTAATTATGTCGGTGTATTTTAGCTCTTCTGAATGGAATGCCGTCGATCCGTCTGAACGTGAGTGGAATAAAACAAACAAAAAGCCAGTTTCAATTCAATTTCAATTTCAATTCAGTTTCAGTAGCAGAGTGAACTTTAGCTTTGCACCACAGAAATAAATTACATTTTAATATATGTTCAAATAGAAAAAGTTTATTTTAAATTGTAATATTTCACAATATTACTGTTTTTACTATGGAAGCCCGTTTCCGCCACTGAATAAAAAATAAAAAAGGTAATTGCGACTTTTTATCTCGAGATATAAACTCGCAATTGTGAGAAAAAAAGTCAGAATTGCGAGTTTTTATCTCGTAATTGTGACTTTATATCTCGCAATTCTGACTTTATAACTCGCAATTGTGAGTTTATATCACGCAATTCTAAGGAAAAAAAGTCAGAATTGTGAGATAAAAAGTCGCAATAACCTTTTTTTGCTTCCATATTTTACTATATTTAATAAATAAATATTAATGTTATTAATGTTATTTTGATTTTATTGTATTTTTGAGCATAAGAAACTGCTTTCAAAAACATTTTTAAAAAATTTAAAAAATACAGTAGCATATGTGGGGGGGAAATCCATGTGAAATATGCGACCTAGGAGACTGTAACATGTCATCTTAATCATTTGTCTTCCATAGACACCTTCTGGATGAATCCTCAGTTTAAGATCAAACTGGAGGAGGAAGATGATGATCCTGATGATAATGAAGTGGGCTGCAGTGTGGTGATTGGCTTGATTCAGAAGAACCGGCGTAAGTTGAGGAAGTCTGGAGAGGACATGCACACCATTGGCTATGCCATCTACGAGGTGGGGTTGATAAGATACCAATGTTTTATGTCTCTTTTGTTGTAAATGTAATGACATAACCTGTGAAGGGCGCTGTTTATACCAATGTTCTTTTTCTTTTCATTCTAGGTGCCTCCTCAGGTGAGCACAGTGGAATAACTTTAAAATGATTTCTGAAAATTGAGATGTGGAGAATTAACATAAATGGTAATAATGAAGCATTTTAAATATATTTTGCTAAAAATACTGGTCAATATCCACCGAGAAACCGTTCAAAACCACCTAGCAACTGCCTGGCAACCACCTGTAACACCCAAGTAGCGCTGACTTTTGCTCAGGCAAACACCACTCACATTTTCTTCAGAAAAT